ATAGTCACCAAGATCCTTTCCATGTCTAAAATTCTATTATCTCCCATTTTGTTTTTTATAGTTTGCCTACCTTTTGACATTCTTTGAGGCCGTGAATATTATATAATTAGATTTTTAAAATAATAAAACTAAATCAAAGTTTTAAAATATATATCCCATAGTCCTTTGTGGGGAGATGCCAAAACCATAAACTCTGGTCAGCAATATATTTTTCAATCATAAAATCTGAAAGTGCTTGAAAAAAGCCTAATATATCTTCCAAAAAAGTTAATTTGACTATAAATGCTTTTCCCCAAGTATGTGCACATTCCCAATGACATTTTACATTTATGACTTTTTAAAAATTAGAAAATATAATGTACTTAATTTTTCAAGATCTGCTTTTATGACTTCCTTTCCCATTCAAATATTTTATTTTCAAGGACTAAAGCTACTTTTAAAGACCTTGGAATAGATGACTTGGGAATTTACTCCTGTGATGTCACAGACACTGACGGAATTGCTGCAAGCTATTTAATAGACGAAGAGGGTAAGTTTAAGTCAGTCTGCTGATGTCTGGAAAAATGAAACAGTGGAAACAGTGCTGGATTAGAAGTTCAAGGAATTTTAGCATTTACAATCCACGTGTGACCTTGTAACCTCTGTGGGTCTTATTGCAAATTGACAGGGTTGAATTCAGGGGCATGATAGAAACTGCTCCTACTGGCTTCAGAAAACTGATTACCAAATTTTCAATATGATTCTTTATACCTCAGATGTTGGCAGACACTACAGAACTTGAGTTATTGTTTTGTTGATTGTCTTGACTTAAGAAAGAGATAGATAAAATGTTAATAATGAAGATTGAACTTAAAAGTGTGTTGTAAATATAATTTTTTTTTCTTAGAGCTGGTTGTTAAACATTTACCAGCATACCCCTGGATTAAATGATCCCTAATGTCTATTCCAGGTCTACATCCTATGGTTTCTAATAATTATTTGCCATTTTTATATTATGTGAAAGACCAGATTAGACATTTCACGTAGACAAAAGATTGCTGGACTGAAAATCAGAACACTTGGGCCTAAGCAGTATCTGCTGTTTCGTGTGTGAGTGGACAAGCAACCTCTCTGAAACCTAAGTTCTATCATTTGTGAAATGAATACAGTAGAATTTGCTCTACGATAATGTATGTGAAATACCTTTTAACTCATATCATTATTAAATACTAACAGATTTCTTTTTTCTTTCTTTTCCCAGAGATGAAACGTTTACTTGCTCTCAGCCAAGAACACAAATTCCCAAGTGAGTATCAGAAAAATATTCGTGGGCAGTGGTCACCACCCTGTGTGGTGAGCTAGTAACGCTGATGGCACTGGTAGAAATGGATAATTTAGGAACCATGATGGGACATACATTTTGGCAGTAACCAGTATCTTTCTAGTAGCACTTCCTAGTAAATTAAAAAATCAGATGAAGCTATCATTTTTGATATGATACTATCATAATTAGTTCTCCAAATGTACTGAGGATGTTGATGCAGTAAACGTTTCCTTTAGTCTACACAGCATCCAAGTGGCTCTTTTTAATGGAGCTATAAGATCTAGATTATGGAATGAATTTCTTTATCTCAATATTTTGATGTCATGTCTCTGTTACTTTCTTCAAATATATTCATTCTTATGTCTCCATGGAGAGGCAGAATGAGGTCATGGTGAAAGGGCTGGCCTTGAAGTCAGCAATCAATAGGTTTGTAAGCATTTATTAAATACCCACTGTGTGCCAAGCAGCTAGGTTACACAGTGGATAAATCACTGGGCCTGAACTCAGGTATTCCTAGGTTCAAATTTTACCTCAAATACTTACTAGTCTATGATCTTGGACAAATTATTTAACTACCTTCTGCCTCAGTTTCCTCAACTCTAAAATGAGGATAATAATAGCATCAACCTCCCAGGATTTTTGTGAGGATCAAATAAGATAGTAATTATAAAGCATTTAGCACAGTATCTGGCACATAGTAGGTGCTTAATAAAGGCTTGTTCCCCTGTATACAAAGTAAATAAAGTCAAGAAAGACCTGCCTTCAAGTCCACCTGAAACACAAACTAGCTATGTGACTATGATCATTTTCTTATACCCTAAGCGCCCCAGGTTATTCTTCAAACAGATAGAGTTGCTGAGTTTCATCCGAGGAAAAAGTTTCCATGCTGGGATTTCCCCATGCTGATGAAATCACAGGCCAGAGCCAAAACAACAAATTGAATTCTTTTGAGTAGTCTGACAGTGGAACTAAATTCAAACCCAGGGAAGGAGTTTTATCACTTCAGATGCTCAAACTAGTCTTTGCCAGCTTACACATAAAGAAAGTTGATTAAGATGAACTGGTCAAGGAAAGGGGCAGAGATTTAGTTGGTTCACCTGCTAGATAACCTAGCCCCTTTAGGACTTTCTAGCACACTGCTCTAGTGACCCTCTTACATGAAAGATGAGATGGCCCAGCTAAGTGCTAGGAGTGTGTAGCCTGTAAGGAGACTCTGAAGGTACATTGACCTGAAAGCATCTTTTGCCATTAACATTCATTAGCTGAGACAGTAAAAACCCTCAGAAAGTTACTCCCTACCGCCCCACCCCAGCTTGTGTTTAAAACACTAAAATAGGAACTAATGCAGTGTTGTTATAAACACGTGATCCTTGCATAACTCAGAGGTTTCCTTTAAATTCCATATGTTAAAATCATAGCTGCCCCTTTTAAAGGCAGACTCTCTGCCTAGTCTTAAAGAACTCCAATTTGTCTGCTTTGTTAATGTCACCGAGATGACTAGATAGTGAGAAAACATGAGCAAGACTTGGGAAATTCTGATTCAAATCCTCCCATGAACCACTGGAAAAATAATTTCTTCTCTGTTTTTTCATAGGTAAAATTTGAAAGAAAAAAAGTAGTGTTTTATAGTGGCCTTTTGTTTGCAAATGAAGTTCAAAGTATTTGGGTCAGACTATTTACTGGGCCTCTGCCACTGACTACTTGAGTGACCTTGAGTTAAGTCAAGTAAACAAGCATTTATTAAGTACCTCTTATGTTTGAGATACAAAAAAAGGCAAAAGACAGTCCTGGTTTTTGAGGAGCTCACAGTCTAATGGGGGAGAAAACATTCAAAGAACTGGGTACTGAAAAGCTATCTACAGGATACAATGGAGATCATCAACAGAGAAAAAGCACTATGAACAAGGCGGGATCAAGCAACGTCTTTGACCTCTCTTCATCACAGTGTCCTTGTCTACAAAGTAGGATTTATAATAATTGGTCGTACATACCTTATAAAGACCTGACAGGAATTAGCACACTATTGTTCATGAGTTAAAAAAAATACTGAGTAAGTTTAAGAAAAGGAATCCAAATCTTCCCCCTTGTTAGGGAGGGAAAAGCTGTCAGAAAGCCCTGTAGCTAATACCAGCCCATTCTCTCATTCCCAGGGGTCTGCAACCTTGTTGAAAGGCTGAAAATGTATGGGGATGGTTAATTTGCACTTTGGTTCCCATCTCACACTAAATCAAGTGAGGATGAGCCATCGTAATAGACCTTAAATTTTGTTAATAATGAAGTAGAACCCTAGAAATAGCGATAGTGAACTTTCAATTATTTGTAGAAACAGAGAGGGCAGCAACCAGTCAACCAAATGATCAGTCAATAAACACTGATTGAGTCCCTGAATAGCAATGTCATTTACATTTGACTATTACAATGGAAAAGAAAAAAACGAAGGCATAGCAAATAGAGAGTCAGTCCTGAGTTAGGGATCTGTAAATACGTCTGATGAACTTGATAGCACAACTACAATTACTGGTACTAAAAATAGAATTGATCAAGGAATAAGTCATTTCGAGGTCTCTTGAGGTTTTTTTGTTTTTGTTTTTGTTTTTGTTCTTCAGGGGAGGAATGGATAAGAGGCCTATGATTCTAAGGGAATAGGCAGTGAGAAAAAGTGACTTGTGACTTTTTACTTTTTATATGTTATTTTGGGTAGGCAAAGAAATGAACTTGAAAATTGTATAGGTCAGGGGACAAAATATCATGATTTTTAATCTTTAAGTCTATGAAGAGTTAATGCATCTCTCTAAGAATATAAGCTGCAAGGGATGCATCCATTTGCAATAGTAGATGAAGTGCCCTCATTTGTAGCTCCCTATAAGAATGAAATCACAGGTCTGGCCCTCTGAAAAATCTGTGAAGGGCAAACCCCAATTCCTCAGTCCAAAGGAAGCTATTTGATAACCCTTTTTAAAGTATGTTACATAAAAGCTTGAAAGCTTTTTTTTTTTAAATTTCTAATATTAGGATAGCACTCTTTAATAATCTTAGAGCATGGAAATTAGGTTAATACATTTGTATTTCAAGAGACCTGATGGTAGTGAATAAGTGATACACTTGGTTTGTATCTGCTTCCTCTGGTACATGCTGACTTGTGGTAACTAAATTATTTTTAAAGATTTGGTTACTAGCTATGTGACCCTGGGCAAGTCACTTCACTCCACTGCCTCGCAAAAAAAAAAAAAAAAAAAAAAAGATTTGGTTAGTTGTTAAATGGCAGATAGATGGCACAGTGGATAGATGCTGAGTCTGGAATCAGGAAGGTCCAAGTTCAAGTATTGCCCCAGACACTTACTAGTTTTTTGACCCTGGACAAGTCACCAGACTACTATTTGCCTCATTTTCCTTATCTGTAAAGTGAGGATAATAATAGCACCTACCTCCCAGGATTGTTGCGAGGATTGAATGAAATAATATTTATAAAACACTTTACTTAAAGCACCATATAAATGGTAGATGTTGTTTTCATTTCTCATGGAATTTAATGAAATCTGGCATTCCATTACACTAAGATGAGAAATTATTCAATAAATTCTTCAGTCTAAAAATTTTTAAATCAATTCAGAAGCCTCTAAACCAATCCTTTGGGAATGCAGATGTGTAGAAAAGCCTAGGAAAATATATTATTTTCAGTTTAGGCTTGTGCTTCCTTCTTAAGCTGAGAAAGCTGAAGTGAAAATAAAAGCAGTGTCATTTACAAGAATTCTGGAGCCCAGAAAGTGGAACTGGGGGTCAGTGCCTAACTATAGAGCAGTTGTGGACATTGATGCCCTCTCCTTGGGCAGTCGCTGAACAGATGTGGTGATGGACCAAATTAGAATCTGCCTGAGGTATTAAGAAAAGTAGGGCTGAGAGCAAGCCGGAAAAAGCAAACGTTTAAGGATAAAATTAGACAAATTGTCCTGTATGTCTGGTAGCACTGGGTACAGCGGCCAGAGGGACAGGGTGTGTGAATTTGTGTCTGTTTTCCAGGGTGCTCTGTGCAGATAGAAAGAGGCAGTCCAGCATTATGGACAGGGGGCTGGCATTGGAGCCTAGCAGACCTGGCTTCAAGTATTTTCTCTGATATAAATCACCTGTGTAATTTTTGGCAAGTCGCTTAATCTCTCCAGGCAACTGTCCAAGACTCTAAGTTACAAATGAGTTGTCACTCTGCTTTGGTGGAGGGCATTTCTATAATGGGAGGTCCTCTCAGTGATGAAATCACACATCTGGACTGTACAAAAAATATAAAAACATATGTCTTTGCGGGTGTCTGCATAAAATCCAAAATGTGGATGGGTTATAGTTATAACATCAATACTTTACAAAAATTCTAGGTACATACACATGCATATGTTTATGTATGTGTATGTACATGTATATGCAGATATTTATACTTACTAGTATATATGTATACAGCAAATAGGAATCAGAGGAGAAAAGGGTAATTATGATCTTTCCATAGGAGATATAATACAAAAATATTTTTAAAATTTCAATCAGTGTAAACCCAGTGGAAAAGATACTAGATTTGGAATAAGAATTCAAATCTGGACTCTGCCACTCACAGACTGGGTAATCTTGGGCAAATCAGTTCACCTCTCTGGGCTTCAGGTGATTCATCTGTAAAATGAAGGGATTGCACTAGATGACACTTGACAGCTATAACTCTACAATCCAATGATCCCATGAATCCATGCTTGCTGTTCAGTAGCTTCAGTTGTGTACAACTCTTCATGGCCTCATTTGGAATTTTCTTGGCAAAGATACTGGAGTGGTTTGCCATTTCCTTCTCCAGCTCATTTTACAGATGAGGAAACTGAGGCAAACAGGATTAAATGATTTGTCCAGGATCACACAACTAATATATATCTGAAACCAGATTCGAATTCAGGAAGATGAGTCTTCCTGACTTCAGACCCAGCACTCTATCCACTGTGCCACCTAGCTGCCCACCCAATAGCTGCTAGATGATAGTGTATCCCATCAACCTCTATTGTCCTAGTAATGACAGAACTCAGTTATCTGGAAAAGAGAGATTGTGTATATTTCCTAGAATAGGCATTATGACTCATGGAGCCTTACTTCTTTGTAGTCTCTGCAATTCTACAAAGTGGTCTTCTTGACCACTAATGCCACCACCACCACACATAAACCCCTTCCTCCCTTCCCCCCCATCCCACATTTGTCTTATACCATAAGCTATCAAAGGAACAGAGAGAATCTGTCAGTGACATAGCAAGAAGACTTCACCCTACAATCACAGTTCCTGAAGTTATCTTTCCTCCAGCTGGATCACTTTAACTTTTACTCTGAAACTGAAGTGGTCAACCAGCCCAGTTGCAAATCAAAAATGATATGTGTAGATTTTTTTGATTTTTAGTTCAATATAAACCCTTGATTTCATTGATGTCAGGAACTCCCACTGTGGAGATTCTCTCCATTAAAGCAATTGAACAATTCTTCTGTAAAGTACATAGATACAGCTCAAGAAAAAAAAATTATTTCCTTATATAAACAAAAGATCATGGGGGAAAAGTCTATAAGCCACTACAATTTAGCTTGTTAATGGAAATTGAGGCTGTCA